CCACATCCCTGTTCTGTCCCACATCCCTGTTCTGTCCCACATCCCTGTTCTGTCCCACATCCCTGTACTGTCCCACATCCCAGTACTGTCCCAGATCTCTGTTTTGTCCTACTCCCCTACATGTCCCACCGGCTGTTCTCTGGAGACTTTGTGCTGCTGATGTTCCTGAAGTTCCTCTCGCTGCAGGACTTGCAGCACATCTGCTTGTATCCAGTGATGGAGCAGTACCGACTCAACATCTCCATCCGACAAAATGCAGAGCGGTCTCCATGACAGCGCTGCCCTGGAACCAGAGAAGGATCAGGTGATGATCAGAAGGTAGGATTCATGCTTCATTGGCTGAAGCAGGTAGAGATGAGAAGAAGAAGAATGTGATGGACCTTCAGTTAGGTTTATTCTCTGAAGAATAGTTGAAAATATTTGAAATGTTTCACACTTGCAGTTAATTTTTAATTGTCGTCTTGTTGATTGGTTTATTGAAGACGTCTCTGGAGTTTCATTTCATTCATTTGTTTCAAACGACTGAGAACATTAATTCAACACACCAGGATTACAAACTTTAAATGTCCCKGGACTCACACAGTAGCTAAGTTTCACCTGTGTTAAGTCTGTGCGTCTCACAAACCTTTCATGTGTCACGTTTCGTTTTGTAAATGTGTATTTTATAAACAAGCATGTATAAAATGTGCAGTGGAGACAATCCTTTCAGGCTGTCTCCTCCAGTTCTTCAAAATGTTTCACAGAATGTTTTATAGTTTTATGTTTTATGTAACCCTACTCTTCAGATGCAGTGACACGTTGGCTAAAAGGAGAATATTTAGTAAATCTTTATGTTCCTTACTGGAGGGGATCTGAGGAGCCGGGAAGTTTGGGTTGGACCTGGACAACCACTGGATGATGGCGTTCTTCTGGTCACCTGCAGGGGGAGACAAACCATCAGTAACAGCTGTCAGTTTCACAGTTTTTAATCAAATCAGGTGCATGATTGGCTGATGTATACCGCTGCAGGGCGGGGCCTGGCAGGAACGTGTCCTGATTAGTTGATGTTCGCTGCAATTTCCAGCCGAACCTTCAGGGTTTAAACACGCGACCTGACGTTCCTGAGTCCCATTTCCACACGAGACCGAACACTGCCCAAAGATAACCACCAGATTTTCAACAGATTGTACGAAACATCCTAAAACTACAAATAAACATTGAAAAGTGGCCAAGCGGCATTACAAAAGCTGAACCTAGAAACAGGCAGTTAGTTCGTCAGTGTCCAGAAAGAGGGACAGGGATGAGGTTAGAGGCGGCAAAAATGGAGATATAGGCCAGAAGAAAGGTGGAGCATTGAGATGGATCTGAAAGAACAGCAATTTATTCACATGATCCTGACTGGAGGGGGCCATTATCAGGGGAGTCCACATGGGAACAACATTTAGTCAATATGTAAAGTTTTGATTGAGGCTTGATTATGTTATAACCCCGCCTCTAACCTACCCAAAGGTTGGAGGATGGGAGGTAACCCTTGGATTTGGTGTTTTTATTTTGTACCCAGTGTGTAAGCTTTATGGTCCACTCTGTTTCCTGTTGGCATATTTTTGTGGCAGCACCATATAAAGACCTGGCATAGTTACTGCAGTGGTTTAGCTAGTTTTTGGTGTTTCTTCATGAAAAAAAGACATTTTTAGAAACTTCACTTTGGAACAATTGTAGATTCTGGATGAGGCCATAGTCTAGAAAGAAGGAGGGGGTTAGAGGTGGTCCATGGAAGCAAAGGTTCATTTTAAACACGACTGAAAGAGAAAAGTTGGAGATAAAGCAGAGAAGAGGGAGTAAGATAATACTCAATGGTTAGAGTGAGGACATGTTCAAGGATACCAGGGAGAGTCCAYTGAGGAGAGATGGTTCAAACAGCTCTCAGACTGCAGAGGAAAGACAGATGTTACTGTACAAGCTGCGAGAGAAAAGTCAGAAAGAGGTAGTCTGGACAGACAAATTCAGATAAACACAAGTCTTCTTTTTTAGAACTACATCTGCTTTGATTTATAAGAAAGACAAAGAGTTGTAGTTCAGAAAGAATAAGGTCCGAGGCAGACCATAGATTGTCAGATCTTCTTACAGGGGTCCAGGGCCCGGCTCTCCAGGCTGCAGGGCAGGGGAATCGGTTACAGGTTTGTTTGGATTCAGGTCGGTCTTCACCACAGAGTCTGCTGTTGACTGAGCGCTGCTGCTTTCCGCTGCTGGACTCCTGCTGGCAGCTCACCCAGCGCCGCTGCCACCCAGTCTGACCACAGGAGGCGCTGCAGGCTTCCCAGCTGCCAGTCAGCCAGCTGACGGTGCGAACAGTCACATGTTACATTACCTCTGCTTTCTGAATGTCATCAAACCACAGACTGTGATGACCTGTTGTGTCTTACCGTGGAGACTTGCAGGTCTCGGTGTTGCACTTGCGGCTGATAGGTCTCGGTTTGTTGATGTTGGAGCAGTACGTCCTTTCCATCATTTCCCCATCAGCCTTCCTCCTGCAGCCAAACCTGGTGTACTGAGTCCCTTGGAACAAAGACCACCATCATGCCCAGAACCATTTGTACCCTTAGTTTAACTAACAACCACGGTACAAGCGGTGGTACAAATGACCATCCAGGTGAATCCAAATCCAGTTCAAAAACATACATATTTACACTGCCTTGAGGCCAAGGCCTCCTTTGAAAAAGAGATCTGTGATCTCAGTGGGATTTGTCTGGTTAAATAAAGGTTAATAAATAATGATAAACTGAATCAAGTGAACCACTGTTTAAGCTACATATACTCCAAAGAACCATAATCAAGTCCAGGAACGGAGAAAACCATCAAGTTCACAACAGTTTGTACCCTGATAATCATCCAACAGAATGTGAGGCTCTACACACCTCCTCCACAGGGTTTGGAACAGTGGGACCACTTTTTCAGAGCCCAGTCATATAAAACTGCATCCTCCTGAACCAGGTTAGACTCCAGTGAAGACCGAAGATCATCCTGGATGATGTACTTGTAAGAGACGGTCACCTTGGAGTCATTATGTGAACGAACCTGAGGAACAGAAAACAGAAGGTGGAAGTTTCTTCTGGTTTACCTCTTCATCAAAAACTGTTTCTTCTGATAGGGACTGACCAGAAGCAGGACATCATACTTCAGTGGCCCGGTGGTCTGAATGGACTCCTGCTCACCAGTCCTGTTGTATTCCCAGACCACTCCCTTTTCAATCAGCTTTCTGGACTCAGGTAGCTCATCTTCATCATTGAGGAAGAGGTGACCTGTCTCCTGGTTCTTAACAGCTACGAGGTGAAACAGAGGGTCAGTTTCTTTAGAAGTTCAGAAGCAACTTTTGGTCTTCAGGTTCTTCTGTCCTCCTACCCAGAATGTGAGGACTCCCTTTGAACTCCTGAATAAGGAGGTGTCTGGCTCCTTTAGGAATATCCAAGATCTTCAGGTAACCTGAAGCACAGAGTCAATAAAACAACCAGTAAGGGTTAGATAAACAACTAACAGGAAATCAGCCATAGAAATATGACTCCACTGGACCTGTCAGTAGGCGTGGCCTATCAGGTGAACTTCCTGTCTTCAAATACTGGAAAAAGAAAAATATTCAGAGGATCACAGTAAACCTTCAGAGGCTCACAGTAAACCTTCAGAGGTCCACAGTAGACCTTCAGAGGTCCACAGTAGACCTTCAGAGGTCCACAGTAGACCTTCAGAGGCTCACAGTAGACCTTCAGAGGTCCACAGTAGACCTTCAGAGGTCCACAGTAGACCTTCAGAGGTCCACAGTAGACCTTCAGAGGCTCACAGTAAACCTTCAGAGGTCCACAGTAGACATTCTGGTCTGCTGTAGGTTCGGTCTGAACATTTCTCTTTATCTCCCAACATTAGGAAAAAAAGAAAGTTCACCTGAGAGGCCCCGCCTACTGATGTGTAATAATGAAAAGCAGTGTAGTCATAATGTTGTGGCTGATCTGTGTGGTTCACCTTCTTTCCTGGTGCTGCGGGTGAAGTTTCCTTTAACCATCCTACAGGTGGACGTGTCTCCTCCACAGACCCCACACTGGTCCTCCTGCTGGTCTGAAGCAATCTGTCCATCACAGCCCACATGCTGCCAGAGACAGGAGACCAGGTGAGACAGAAGACAGGAGACCAGGTGAGACAGAAGACAGGAGACCAGGTGAGACAGAAGACAGGAGACCAGGTGAGACAGAAGACAGGAGACCAGGTGAGACAGAAGACAGGA